AGGGGGACAAAGAGTTGATGCAGGACTGAGTGGGGAAGGACTGAGGCCTCAGCTGGGAGCACTGAAGGGGAGGTAATGGAATGTTCACAGGGAAAAGGCTGGATTCTGCAGAGGAAATGCTCTGGCGCACTGACTCAGCTGCAGGCGCTAAGCAGGCTGTGTGCCTCCTGCCGGCCCTCATCTCACAGCTCCCACCTCCAGGAATAAGGCTCTCTCCTCACGTCCACCTGCCCTCCCTCACCTGTGCGACTACATGGTCCACTCTACATGACAGGGCTCTGGGTCCCTGTAATACACTGCAGGGAGGGGGAGGGGAGGCTGAGTCCCCCCACAGACAACCCTGCAGTGGTGTCCTGAGGAGGGTGGGAAGGGTCAGGGAGGTCCTCACACTCCCACCTCCTGGGTCCTCATCTGAAGCTGATGGCAAAGCCCAACACCATCTGCTCCTCGGGTCCTGAGAGAACCTCCCTCGCCACCCTGAGCAGACCTCCCCCTTGACTGCCATCATTTGGACACTTTCCTCTTCCTATGGGGGTTCAGTTGCTTTCAGGCCCTTAGGGAATGTGTGACTCTCTGTGTACAGGGATGAGTAACAGAAATGGGCAGAGAACTTGCTTTACTGTTCACAGAAGATGGTCTAGCTTAACCTTTGAAAGCTTAAAATCGTAGGAGTGTCTACATAAAATCAACATTTTCAGATAAAACATGAAGGTGGATTTCACCATTTCCTTAAGAGCACAACTGCCTAAAGGACATTAATAATGAACTAGAAGTATATGCATCACAGTTACTGGTAAAATAAAGTTGTTTCTTTGTCCTTAAAAGAGGATTCCCGTGGATTATCTTCATGTTCACCATGTAGAAAGGATTGCCTTTCAGTCCATATGTCTTCCCACCTTCCTGAAGCACCTGCAGTGAGATTGTGGGAGACTTGCTTAGACCACATCCACATGACCCTTTCTCCTTTTAAATATCAAATACAAGACTAGAGGCAGTTCTGGACCCATCTCCCATAGCCAACTACCTGCAACCATGTTCTTGGGGTTCTGCTGAACCCTGATGTCTCTGTGTCTGCCAAGCACCAGCCAGGCACCATCCGATAGCCCACAGTCACCAGAACCCTGTCCACCTCACTCGGGCCTCATCCAAACCCTTGGGACTTTCTGGAAGCCAAATACATGCACCAAGGCACCCACCCCTTGACCTGCTCCTCCAGGTCAAGGTCAACAGCAGAAGTGAGGGTCCTGTGCCTGCCATTCCAGGCATGTGGCAACCACTTAGGCTTGGAGTTATTTTCCAATGCACAGCTCTAATCCCACAACCCAGCCCGATTCTCCAATGCTGGGAGGGTCACTAGACACAGAGTGTTTGGTCTGTTCCGCACCAAGAGTGGAGTGTGGAACCTCTAACTCGCTCTTCTGAGCGCAGAAGGGCCCTTCCCTGTCCTCGGGGCAGGCACCCAGATCAGTAGGGCCTCCACCCTCAGAGGAGCACCCAGACCTCAGCGCCAGGGAGACCGCGCTGAGCACTCGGGAGACCAAGGTTTGACCAGGAACCGCTCTTCTTCCAGAGGCCATTGCGATGAAGCCCCAGATGAGAAATGGGGGAAGTCCTTTCCTTGTGCCCTGAGGGGTCTCTGAGCAGAAGCCTTCACCCCAGTAGGGAGGATGACACACAAACTGCTGTGGGACCACACCAGCCTGGGCCCCAATCCTCAGCTGGTTGAGGACTCAACTCCAGGGCCTTAGGCCTGACCTGAGTCTGCAGTAGGGGCCACAAGTGGGGACCATTTTCTGCTAAGGACACCCACCTGCCATGCCCCCCCACAACCACCCAAAGGTCCACCCCTGCCAGGCACCTCTGGAGACTCCAGTCCCAGCTGCTTCCACCTGCTGGGCCTGCATCTCACCATCTCACCACCAGGGGCCACTGACCACCACAGGCCCCTCACCAGCTCCCACTGACAGGCCTGCCTACCTCCCAGACTCCTGTACTCCTGTGGAGCCCTCCAAGGAAAGGAGTGTGTTTGGAATCATGAGATCTCAGTCCCCAGCATCCTGCACTCTACTTCCTCTGGACACTCAGCTCCTCCCATATAGAATCTAATTAAGGCCCCTCAAAAAGAAGATTGGAAGCCACTTGTTATCACTATCCAGTCCCAGCTACAGCAGCTCCCAGCTCTTCCCTCCTACCCTCGTCAACACTTCAGCCCCCACCTTTGCCACCCCAAGGGCATCACACACACCTGTGGACTGTGACTGTATCACACCAACCCCAGCTGAGACCTCACCTGCTGCAGCCTCTTCTAGATCTGTGACTGAGCACTCCCAGGCTCCAGCCTCGGCCATCAAGGACGTAGTGCTCACCACAGAGCTCCTCACCTGTCTGTCTAGAGCAGCCGTGGACAAACTATGGCCCCCGGGCCGGATCCGGCCCGTTTGAAATGAATAAACTAAAAAATAAAAAGACCGTACCCTTTTATGTAATGATGTTCACTTTGAATTTATATTAGTTCACACAAACACTCCATCCATGCTTTTGTTCCGGCCCTCCGGTCCAGTTTAAGAACCCATTGTGGCCCTCGAGTCAAAAAGTTTGCCCACCCCTGGTCTAGAGACTGGAGGCCCAAGACCTCTGTGTGAACCCAGGACGAGGCCAGACAGGACCCCTTTGGATATGAACTTTCCTCCTGTGCACACTGCAGAGAGTCGTTCCTTTCAAAAGATTTGCGATCTCTCTGACTGCCCCCTCCTTCCTGCCTTCACCCAGGGGAGCAAACTTGCCAGAAAGATTCACTTTCCCCACCTCCCGATTTGCACATGGACAGTCTCAGCCAACAGACACAGAGAGAGGTCTCCCTGAAATTGTCCCCTGTGAACGAGGGAGCCCACAGACACATGACCTTCCACCAACATCTTTATTCCCAGGACATGCTGCACACCTCTCCCTTCACACCCAGGAACTGCAGGTCCTTCTGAGACACCCAGGCCAGGAAGTAGGGGCCTGGCTGCTGGCATCTGGAGATAGAAGGCAGGTCCCCTTTCAGTCATTACCCAGCTTGCCCCCTTCTCACCCCAGAGTCCTCTCTGTGGCCTTCCCTCTGGGAGGAAATCCAACCTTCGCAGAGCATTTGAGAACTCGGGGAAGACCCAGTGTCACCGGACAAACAGTGGGTCCATGCTTCCTGTCACTGCTCAAGCCAGTGAAACAGAGACAGGGTGGAATCATATGAGCGTTTATTCCAGTGCTGCCGGCAGCATGGGAGAGCAGCAGGTCAGCCACAGAAATCTGCTCTGCACCCCACCACAAGCCAGTTGTTTATATAGCAAAAGCACAAAGGAAAAGTAGGCCAAAGGGCAGTTTACAGACATGCAAAAGGACTAGGGGTCTTCAAAGGGCTTAGTGATATGCAAGGGCTGGGGTTACACAGGGAAGTAGCCAAAGCGAGTGCCAGATGGGCAGTTAACAGGTAAGCAGGCTGGAGGTGTGCAAAGGCCTGCAGGTGTGCACAGTGGGCTGGGGGATCTCCAAAGGGCTGGGATTCTAGTTTCTGCAGCAAAGTTGTTCATCTTTCCATGGTAATAGGCAGCTCCAAATGGGGAGGAAGCGCTGCTCCAGGTCAGCTCCAGCCAGGGTAGAACGTGCCTTCTTTCATCAGAATAAAACAATCATGGTTAACAGAGCGTGATTAATATTTCTTACAAAACTAGTTGGTTCCCCAAATTCTATGGCTGCCCCCTTTCACCAGTGCCCAGCTGGGTTGAGTGTTACAAATGGGAAAAAAGTCCCCAGGTTAGGGGAGCAGAGGGGCTATTTGAGTGGTGCTGACAGACCCAAGACCAGGACACAGCAGAGGCCAATGCTGGCGTGATGGGGTCATCCTCTCAGGTGAAGGGGCCTCCATCAGCCTTGCTATTGCAATTGTGCTCCGATGCTCTCATAATTTTTAAACAAACAAATTTAGATGTTTACAAAAAATGGCAAGTGAAACACGCTCATGGATTTATTAACAAGCATTGGATTTTCACTTCTGTGTTTTGTGGACTGCTGTATGCCCAGCTATACTGCCTGGGAGAGCAGAATAAGCTCAATAAATATGCGATAAATGACAAAAAGAAAGACAATGGGCTCCACAGGCCAGTAAGACCCACCTCCCCTGAGAGCTCGTTAGATGCAGAGTCTCTGGTCCACTCACACCTACTGAGTCAGAATCTGCATTTGTCTTTGGCTTTTTTATTTTATGTTTTTTAATTGACTGGTTTTAGAGAGGAAGGGAGTGTGACAGAAACATTGATTTGTTGTTCCACTCATTTAAGCATTTAATGGTAGATCCTTGCAGGTGCCCTGACCTGACATCAAGCAGGCAACCTTGGCTTATCAGGAGGAAGCTCTAACCAACTGAGCTCCCCAGCCAGGGCTCTCAGAATCTGCCTTTGAACAGGATCTGCAGACACTCCTGTGCACAGGAGAGAGGCGGGGCTGCCCCACCCCCAGTTCACAGCCTGGCGGGCATCCACATTAACTGGGGAGCTGATAAGCAGCATTTCTACAGTGTCCTGTAGGCATCACCATCTTTACCACCGTCCACAGGTGATCCGATGCACAAGGGGTTGACATCCCTGTGACAAGAGTTTTTCATGTCAGCCCAGGGCTCCTGCTCAGAAACAGAAGTCCAGAAGGAATAAGAGAGGCCCCAGGGGGCGCTACTGGGCACTCAACTTGAGCTCTAGGGAATTTCCCCCACCCCCACCTCCACCTCCTTGTCCAAGACTCAAGCTTCTCTCAAAAGGAAATGCCTATGGGGGTGGAGGGGGTGGAGAATCACTGAGGAAACAGAGGTCTCATCAATTCCCAGGATCTGACATTTAGCTGGAAGGTAACCAGGAAGGTGGGAGGGGGAGGGGGAAAGGAGGGGAGGACTTAGGAAGGGACCTGGGCACAGACCCCGCCCCCTGCCCATGTGACCAGGAAAGTGATCTTGTCCCTAGAGGAGGCTCAGCAGGTCCCACCAGTAGGGAGAGCAGTGCCTGTGAGTGTTTCTGGACCTCAAGCTCTTCTCACAGAGGGAGGGACGGAAATGGAGTCCCCCTCAGTCCCTGCTCACAGAGGGTGCGTCCCCTGGCAGGGGCTCCTGCTGGCTGGTAAGGAGGGGATAAATCCTGGGGGTGGACAGGAAAAGGGGAAACAGAGACTGGCTCAGGGTCTCCTGGGGAGCACAGCGCTCTGAGAGGGGACAGAGGGCCTCTGTTTGAACCTGAGGGAAGAGGACAGGGGAGCAGAGTGGGATGGGGGTGGGAGCTCAGCAGCAGGACACTCCCATGATCTGGAGGTGGTGAGGGGCAGGAACACCTTGATTATGGTAAGTTTTACAAGTTATTCATCACTGAAATACTTTCTGAAAACTGATTATAATAATATCTATTTGTGTCAGGGTGACAAGAAAAAAATGAACCAGGGGCACTAAGCATTGTCTCTACCTCCAACCTCAGAAATAGGCACATACACCCCAGGGTCTGCGGGACCCAGGGAGCACTCATTCATTCACCCACAGGCACTTCAGCCTGCTGCAGGCCCTGGGGGTACAACAGAGCAGACAAACCCCTTCCCCCATGGAGCTCACCTTCTATGGAGAGGAGACACACAAGGAAACATCTAGATGTGAGGCAGGGACCCTCAACTGCCATGAGGAAAACAGAACAGGGACAGGTCAGAAAGTGGAGACACAGGTCTTTAGTGTCAACAGGGGTCTGAGCTGTGCCTGTGAGCATTTCTGACTTCAGGAGCCAGGAGCCAGGCAGGCACCTGGGAGTTTTCAAACAGGAAATAAGGTCAGAGGTGCTGAAATATTGCTGGCCATGCTGCTGCACTTGACCACAGGAAATACACTCACACACACCAAGGCTGAGAGATGAAGAGACCTGCTAGGACCCAGGCCGTCATCTTTCCTTCCCAATACATTGCTCCAAATCTTGATCAACTTCTCTCTTCCCTCCTAGCCTCAATCTTAACCCTCTGGAGCCTGCCCACCACTGCCCAGCTCACTATTGAATCAGTGCCGCCCAATGCTGCCGAAGGGAAGGATGTGCTTCTCCGTGTCCACAACCTGCCTGGGAATCTAATGGTCTGTATCTGGTACAAAGGGGAAAAAATAGACAGCAACCTTCGAATTGCATCATATACAGCACACACTCAAGCAGTTACCCTCGGCCCTGCATACAGTCAACGAGAGACAATGTACCCCAATGGATCTCTGCTGTTCCAGAAAGTCACCCTGCAGGACACAGGATACTACACCCTAGTAGCCTTAGACAAAGATGCTGAGAGCATACAAGTAACTGGACAGCTCCGTGTATACCGTGAGTGATTGCTCTCTGTCCTCTGGGTGTCGGGTGGGGTATATTCTACTTCACACACAGGACTGACAGCCCTGCACTCACTCTGCCTCCATCCCCCTCTGCCTCATATTCCAGGTTGGGTTTGGGCATTTAGTGCAGGACACACACAGTGGAGACAAACTTTCTACGGTCAGAGTTCCCTTCCCGGATTCCAGCCCTGCAGACATTCTCCACAGAGAGAAGGACCCATCTGATGGCAGTGACTCAGCAAAGGGAACCAGCCTCAGTCCAGGCCCCTTGGCCCCGCCCAACCAAGACCCAGAGAACAACCCTGCAGGGCTCATGCTGGGCCTGGCCTGGGGGACCCTGGGATCCTCACAGAGAAGTTCAATTCAGGCAGCTGCTCCACCCCCCTCCCCGAGACCTCTGCCCCAGGGCTCCTGACTCCAGGGAATATGAAGAGACTCTGGGTGATTGAGATTGATCTGTGGCCAGGCCTGACTGGCAGCAATAGTTTCCCAGGTGCCCAAGTCACAAAGCTCCTGAGGTGGTCACCAGCCAGGGCTCAGCCTCAAGAGCCATATCTGGGGAGGGATGGAGCCTGCTCCTTCGCCTGAGACCATGAGTGGGGAGTATGTGGACAAGGTCCCTAGGCCATTAGCCAATTGCCTGGGGGACATAGGAAGGAAGAGGAAGATAGTGTCTCCAGGGAGGAAAAGAGAAGGTGTTCCTCGAAGCTCCCAGTCCACCAGGGATCTGTCCACTGCATCCTCTCTCACAGACACAAATAATAACAGAGGCTGTTAACTTGGGCAGCCCCTCTATTCCAAGCTTTAGGTTAGAACAGTGGTCGGCAAACCGTGCCTCGTTAAACACATGTGGCTCTTTGGCCCCTTGAGTGTGGCTCTGCCACAAAATACCACGTGCAGGCATGCATGTACAGTACAAAGTTGACTTAAAACTTTAAGTAAAGTTTATTAAGTTAATTTTAGGGAACGTTGTGGAGTGAAAAAATATGTAGTGTCGAAGATTGAGAAAGGTATGTTGAGATGGTTTGGACATATAGAGAGGATGAACGAAAGGAGATAGACGAAACAAGTATACAAGACGAGTGTGGATGGGAGAGTTGGAAGGGGTCGACCTCAGCGAATGTACCTCAATCAGATTGAGGACCTTTTTAGCAAAGGCCAGCTTAGGAGTACCCTAATTAAGTTAATCACAATGTACCTACCTATATAGTTTAAGTTCAAAAAATTTGGCTCTTAAAAGAAATTTCAATCGTTGTACTGTTGATATTTGGCTCTGTTGACCAATGAGTTTGCCGACCACTGGGTTAGGAAATTGTGAAAGATTTAAGGGTCATTCACAGGCAACATGGCAAACCTGAGACCATTTACCACTTATCCTGTTTCATTCAGGGAAAACTGAGTTACAGGAAGATACAGTCACTCAATCAGAATCACACAGACTGACTGACCAACGTGAGTCATGCCAAGGCCTCTCCTCCACTCCAAGGGCCTTATTATGCTCACTTCACCCCTGACTGGTGACTCACATCCTCGTACTGGTGTGAGGCTCCCATTCCTCCCAGTGGCTCCCGAGGCCTTCCCCAGGTGGGCCTGGTGACCCTGCACCATCTGACTGGTTCACTGCCTGTTTCACACACATGTTCTCATAATGACACCTGGACCACAGGGTGGGATCCCCTCAGATGGTGAGATCCACCAGCCACTGTCCTTTCTCTTAGACGCTGCTCAATTTGAATGAATTTGACTAAACTCCAGTTGTTTCCTGAGTTAGAAGGAAAAGGAAGAGCACATGCCACAGGCCCGTGTGGGGGCTCCTCCCCACCTGCCTGACTGTCCATAGAAACAGGGAGGGACCTTCTCCCTAACTTTACTAACATGGAACAGATCCTTTCTACCAATTTGATGACATCCCCCCCTTTATACAGCAGACACCTGGACTCAGCCACCGGCCACTTCTGTTCTCTTTGCAGGACTCACCTTCTCTCTATCCAGGGAGTCCCTGATTTCTAACCCACTCTGGCATCTCCCTTTGTTCACAGTATGACCTGGTTGGATGGCAGAACTTGGTCTATGACCTGCGTACCCTCTAGAAAGAGATTCCTGAAAAATCTGGCATTAGAACTTTGGGGCATGAGTGATTTTCACATATTCTTTCACAGTTTAACGCAAAATCTATCTCATAACTGCCAAACACAAATGGACCGTGAGGGCCATATTTTCAGCAAGTTCATGCTCCCCCACTCCACAAGCCCCCCTTCTGTATGTGCTATTGTCTGCATGTTGAGGAAGGATCCCTGCCCTCTGCAGTGGCAGAAAGGACATTAAAGTCCAAGGGAAGAGAGCCTGGCTCTGCTGCCACCCCCAGCCAGCTCCTGCTGCGCCTCACTCTTTTCTAAATTATTCCTGGACTCTGCTCTGCCCTTTCTGGGGTCACTGCCTCATGTCAGTCACCAGTGACTCCTGGGCAGACAGACACACCTTGTGGCTCTGCAGCCTGGGTACTGCCAGACTTGCTTCTGATCTCCCGTGTATTGTTTATGCTCAGACACCCAGTTCCAGGACACCCTGCCCAGTCCTCTCTGGGCTTAAGGACTATGGGGTGGCCCATCATTACTCATCTCTAGGATGACCCTGGACTGTGAGACTTCGGTGGAAACACATCTCAACCCGGCAACATAGGTCTGTGTAGCTGGAAGGGACTCAGCACCTGCACATTCCAGGTGAGAGCCAAGGTCAGCCAGGCAGTCAGCCGTCAGTGAGGAGCCAGGACAGGTGCCAGGTGGTCTCTGACTCCCAGTCCTGTGTGTCTCTGTGATGAAACTCTAATAGTTATCTGAGCCCTGAGAGTCTGTGCTTTTTCTCCCAGACATAGAGCAGGCAGCCTTATATCTTCTGTGTGCTCAGATCCTCATGCATTTGTCTTGTGATGCACAGACCTGCCTTATTCTTTTAAAAACTCAGGTTGGCTGAGAGGCAAGAGGTGTCAACTCTGATGAAAGAAGCCTTTAGAGCAGCGGTTCTCAACCTGTGGGTCGCAACCCCTTCACAGTCAGTCAACTCCTCTGTTCTCCACAGAGCCAGTGGGGAAGCCAGCCCTCCAAGCCAGCAATGCCACAGTCACAGAGCATAAGGACGCCCTGGTCCTGACCTGCCTCACCAATGACAGGGGCATCTCCATCCGGTGGCTCTTCAAGAACCAGATTCTACCTCACAAGCACAGGATGAAGCTGTCCCAGGACAACAACATCCTCACCATAGACCCCGTCAGGAGGGAGGACACTGGGAGCTTTCAGTGTGAGGTCTTCAACCCCATCAGTTCCAGCAAGAGTGACCCTCTCAAGCTGGACGTACAATGTAAGTGACTCCTTGCCCCGTCTACATCTCCCTGGGAGGATTGCTCTACCAATGGTGTGAAAAATGGACAGAAGTCACAGGGAGCAGATTGTCAATCGGGAGACAGCACAGTAAACAGAAGGGCAAAGTGGTTAAGAGCTCAGTTTCCGACCCTGGATCTGGCATTCACTGTGACCTTACACAAGGTTGTTTTTATGCTCATTTTTTATGTGATAAACTATACACAAAATTTACCATTTTAACTTTTAAGCGTACACCTCAGTGGCATTAAATGCATTCACATTGTTATGCAATCATTACCACTATCCATTAGGAACTTTTTCATCTTGCCACACTAAAACTCTGTACCCATTAAACACTAGCTCTCCAATCCCCAATCCCAACCCCTGGAAGCCACCATTCTATTTCTATTAATATGACTACTCTAGGTACGTCATATAAGTGGAATCATATGATATTTATCCTTTTGTGTCTGGCTTTTTTCACATAGCATAATGTCTTCAAGTTTCATCCATATTATGGCATATATCACAATTTCATTCCTTGTTAAGGCTGAATAATATTCCATTGCATCCATCACGTTTAATTTCTCATTCATCTGTCCATGAATTCTGTGTTGTTTCTACCTTTTGTCTGTTGTGAATAATGCTGCTATGAACAAGGGTGTACAAATATCTGTTCAAATCCCTGCTTTCAATTCTTTTGAGTATTTACCAAAATACTGGATCAAATAGTAATTTTTGTTCAATTTCCTGATGAACTGCTATGCCGTTTTCCATAGTGGCTGCACCATTAAATATTCCTGCTGGCAATGCACAGAAGTTCCAGTGTTCCCCATCCTTGCCAACACATTGTTTTCTGGGTGGTTTTTTGGTTTTTGCAATAGCCATCTTAATCAGTGTGAGGTGTTATCTCATGGTGGTTTTGATTTCATTTCTCTAATGATTAGTGATTCTGAGCATCTTTTCATGTGCTTATTGTCCTTTTCTATATTTTCTTGGAAGACATTTCTATTCAGTTCCTCTGGCCATTTTTTCATCCTATTGTTTTATTGTTGTTGTTGAGTAATAGTTACATATATATTCTGGATATTAATCCCTTATCAGATATATGATTTTCACATATTTTCATCCATTCTCTGTGTGTCTTTTTTCTTTTTAACATTGTCGTTTCATAAACACAATTTTTAAAATTTTGATCAAGTCCAATTTATCTACTTACTAGAGGCCTAGTGCATGAAATTTTGTGCCACAGTAGGGTTCCTAGCAGCTGCTGGCTGCCAGCCGGGACCTCCCTGGTGGTTAGCGCACGTCTAACGCCCGGTTGGTTGAACTCTCACCCTTAGGGACAATTTGCCTATTAGCCTTTTATTATGTAGGATTCTTTGTTGCTTGTGCTCTTAGTTTCATATCCAGAAATTCATTGCCAAATCCAATATCATAAAGATTTCATCCTATGTTCTCTTTTAAGCATTTTTTTAAGTTTAGCTCTCACACTTAGATTTTTGGTCCATTGTGAGTTAATTTTTTGTTTATGGTGTTAAGTAGTTCCAATTCATTCTTTTGATGTAAATACCATTTTCCAAGTGCCATTTCTTGAAAAGACTGTGCTTTCCTTCTTGTATGGTCTTGGCACTTTTTAAAAATTGATTCTAGAGAATGAAAGAGAGAGTGACTCTTGATGTAAGAGTGAAACATCAACTGGCTGCCTCCCGCACATGCCTTGCCTAAGGATCAAACCAACAACCTGGGTTGTTTCCTGACCAGGAATAGAACCCATCATCTTTTAGTGTACAGGACGATGCTCCACACAACTGAGCTACACCTGGCAGGGAAGGTCTTGGTACTCTTGTCAAAATCATTTGACCATATATGTGAGAGTTTATTTCTGGGCTTTCTAATCCATTTCTATATGTCACAGCCTTACAGTAAATTTTGAAATAAGGAAGTATGAATCTTCCAATTTTGTTCTTTTTCCAGTTTGTTTTGGTTATTGGGGGTCTCTTGACATTCCATATGAATTTCAGGATGGATTTTTCTATTTTTGTCCAAAAATGTCATTGGGATATTGATAGGGATTGCATTGAATCTGTAGATCACTTTGGGAAGTATTGTCATCTTAACAATATGAAGTCTTCCAATCCATGAACACAGAATGTCTTCCCATATTTTTCCAGCAATTTTTTTTTTTGTGGTTGTTCAGTATATAAGTCTTTCACTTCCCTGGTTAAGTTAATTCCTAAGAATTTTATTCTTTTTGATGCTACTGTAAATGGCATTCTCTTAATTTCCTTTCTGAATTGTTCATTGTTCATTGTTCATACATAGAAGCACAACTTATTTTTACCTGTAGATTTAGTATCCTGCAGCTTTGTTGAACTTGTTTATTAGTTCTAACAATTTTTGGGGGACTTTAGGGTTTTCTACATAGAAGGTCATATCATATGCAAACAGACATAATTTTATATCTCCTTTTCCAATTTGGATGCCTTTTATTTCTCATTCTTGTCTAATTTCTGGCTAGGACTTCCAATAGTGTTTTGAGTAGAAATGGCAAACGAAAGCAGATCTTTGTCTCTGCCTGATCTTAGGAAAAAACTTTTAGTCTTTCACTATTGAGAATCATGTTAGGTGTGGGTTTGTCATAAACGGCCTTTATAATGTTGACGTAGTTTCCTTCTATTCCTACTTTGAGCATTTTTATCATGAAAGGATGCTGAATTTTGTCAAATGCTTACACTGATTCAATCTTCTTATTATTTATAGGTCTATTCACATTTTCTGTTTCTTTGTTTTGTTGTGCCAGCACAGCCAAGGGTTGGGTAAGCCTGAGCGGGGGTGGTGAAGGATTAAAGCAAAGAGAGACAAAGAGAATATACCTGGGGCTTGGTGGATCTCCTGTGCCTGGATGAGGCCACAGAGAAGGATCCAGCCAGCAAGCTGAGGCTTTATTTTATAGTCAGAGAAAAACAAGGTAGTGGTCAACATAGTTACAATGTTCTTGTGAGTTTCACTTGTTTTGGCAGCACTTGCTGGATCTCCAGAAGCCCTTTAGCTACCTAGGAATTATCTAGGGGGCGGCCATAAGGTCAAGCTTAATTATGCTAAGAGGGCTCTGCCCTCTAAGAGGGGACTTGTTTGTGGCTTTGCCCTGTCAATCTGAGGCTTAACTCTGGAGCCGCTCCCTCCACTTTGTGATTCCATCTTGGTAAGGTTTTGTGTTTGTCCATTTCATCTAAGTCATCCAATTTGCTGGCATACAATTACTCATAGTACTATTATAATTCTTATTATTTCCATAGAATTGGTAATAATGTACCCACTTTCATTTATGATTTTAGTAATTTGAGTCTTCTCACTTTTTTTCTTAGTCAAACTAGGTTAAGTTTTGTCAATTTTTTCATCTCTTTTGAGGAACCAACTTTTTTTTTTTAATATATTTTATTGATTTTTTACAGAGAGGAAGGGAGAGGGATAGAGAGTTAGAAACATCGATGAGAGAGAAACATCAATCAGCTGCCTCCTGCACACCCCACACTGGGGATGTGCCCACAACCAAGGTACATGCCCTTGACTGGAATTGAACCTGGGACCTTTCAGTCCACAGGGCAACGCTCTATCCATTGAGCCAAACCGGTCAGGGTGGAACCAACTTTTTGTTTCATTGATTATCTCTCTTGTTTTATTATTCTGTAATTTATCTATCTCCACTCTAATCTTTATTAGAATTTACTTTGTTCTCTTTCTCTAGTTCCTTATGTTGTAGAGTTAGATTGCTTATTTGAGATCTTTCTTCCTATTTAAAGATCTTTCTTCCTATATAAAGCATTTACAATTGCAAATTCCTTGCACAAGATTCTCAACTTCTCTGAGCCTCATATTCCACAACAGAAAATTACAATAAGAGTACCTGCTTCGTGGTATTGTTTTAAGTATTTAATGTGCTATTGAATCAAACCCTTAGCAAAAGGTCACACACAGCAGAAAAGTTCCATGGTGTTAGCTGCTATTATTACTTCTATTATCACTGGCCTCTATGAAGTCAATGGTCCTAGAGTCCAGGATCTACCCCTTACTAATCATATGACTTTGGGTAAATTTTTCACCACTCTAAGCCTCAATTTTTTCATCAGTAAAATGGAAATAATGTCTATCTGACAGGGTTATTTTATGAATCAGATGAGATATAACAAAAGTATTTAGCACAGAGTCTGGCACATAGTAATACCCCACCCATATCAGCAGCTAAAATTAATATTAATCCTTAATCTTGAGTTCACTAGTGAGGGCAACAGAAATTGGGGGAAAAAAGACACAGATGCAAAATGATTTAATTTAGGGTTAGGGGGGCATTACACACAAAAAAATAAATCATTATAGGAAAAGAAAAGAGGAGTTGAGTGCAAAGTCTCAAGCCTGATTTATTAGTTTTCATCCCCTGAGAGGCAGCCATGATGAGATTACACATACAAATATTTATTTGGAAAAAAAAAATCGCTGGGAAGAAAAGAACCTGGGATGGAAGTGGGAGGAGCCTGGAAGTTTCCTCTGGCAAGGATGCAGATCTGGTTATTGTGTAGGAGAAAGCAAAGAAAGATTTAGGTTGAAGTGCCATCTTTTCTGTTGTTCTTTTTTTGTTTGTTTGTTTGTTTACCCATCTTTGTGAATTAACTTTGGAAGTCAGCAAGCCATCTGAATGAAAAGATTTCAAATGATGACAGATGATTATATAAGAATATTTAGAGAACATTTAAAGGATATAACATTACTGTTTAGTATTCACTTGGCAAACTGAAAAAGAAAAGTGCTGACATTATGCCCCTTTTAGACAATTATTTTCAAGCTTTAGTTTGTATAGGAAATCTTTAGGGAGCTAGTTAAAATTTCCAGATTCCTAGACTCTACCCATAAAAGTTCTGATTCAGAATGTCTGAATGCCTGGAGTGGGACCCAGAAGTTTGCATTTTTAGAAAACATCCCAAAGAATTCTGTTGTAGGTGGTCTTTGAAATACTACGTTTCGACATACTGGTTTAAAGGTCTCAAGTAACTCTAGAGAACAGCTAAAGACAAAAAATAGTCCTAGGATAGGGAGTGTTTTCTTCCTAGAATCACTGTGGATCTCATGCAAAAGTCAAAGGAACACAAACTCTTCGGACACCATGACTATGGGAGCTAAACATTCCTCTGATCTAAAGAACACTCCCAACTGCCCATAAAGATCCAGGATGAATATCTGTAATAACCAACCCATTATTTTTACCAGAGGAAACTAGGAGACTGCCCTTTAACTCTGCTACCAGGGCTTTTGGAAGCTCCAAACGGCTTCCTAAAATGTGATCTTTCTCCATGAGCCGTGGGCCTATGAGATGAGAACCTATCACTTCCCAATGCACCATCTCCCCGCTATGTTCCCTCGAGCATCCCTGCTTTCCAGGATGGAATGCTGTGGAACAAAACAAAGGTGTTAGTGGTGACTATTTGGGATGGAATCATTTACTTCTCAAGAAATTAAACTTACCCCTTTCAGGGTGGTTGGAGAGCATATGTCTGTTTCAGGTTAGAAAAGGGAGCTGGTGGTTCACAGACTGTCTAAACAGCAACATTTCCGCAACCTATGGTCGGTGTGCCTTCTGGGTTTGCCACCACAATCCTTAAATGGAAACTCTTTTTTTCACAGTACAGGAGCTGGCAGAACTTTTTGCTCTAACTTGAATAGGAAAAAATTCTCCTGCACAAGACACCTTTAGGTTTATTTAGGGAGTTAGGCCTCAGGAAGAGACCTGTTTTAATTTTTTTTTTTTTTTATTCAACCCTGGAAGTAGTGAAGGGAAGCAGGCTGGACAATACCTTTAGATCCCCAGTAGCTCTCATTTTAAAGCATGTTGGGAACACCTCCAATGCCATGTTTTTTTAATGTTGTGTGGGGGTGTGTCTGTGTGTGAGAGAGGAAGGGAGAGGGAGAGAGAGAGAATTATTGATCAGCTGCCTCCTGCACACCCCCCACTGGGGATCCAGTCAGCAACAGTGGCATGTGCCCTGTCTGGGGATCGAACCAGTGACCTTTTGGTGCAGGGAACGATGCTCCAGCCACTGAGCAACACCTGCCAGGGCTACAGTGCCTTCTAAGAGAGTATCTGCAAGGCTGATGGGGAGTCCTTGAGCTAAAGTTACCCACAAGATGAAAACCATTGCTCACAGCATTGGGCTTATTTCAGATCCCTGCTGGGAGCGTGGGGGAAGTCTCTGTGTAAAGCAGGTGGTACATTCACCACCTTCCATCAGTTAAGTCCTCACCAAGGAGACCTGACTAACATATATTCATGGCCGCCACACCTGGTACAGAAAAAACGCAACCATGAAAGGTGGGAAGTTATGACTTACAAAAATGGCCATCAGCTTTCTCACATTTCCAGAGCTCCAACCATATCTCAGTGCAAAAAGTCCAGGTTGGAATTGTGTCAAGTCTGGGCACCAACATAGAAATACAATGGGAGAAAAATATTACAAGGATATAGTGAGCTATTTACCTCATAGCAGCCCTCCCAGGGGAAATTTCTTCCTTGGAGGAACAAGTAGAGACTACTTCATGCTGGGAGTTGTTTCCCAGGGCACCCCCACTGTAAAATAACGTCACCTCACTCATTCTTCTCTTTTCTATCTATGACAGATGATCCAACACTACCAAGTCCTGGCCTCTCAGTTGGGGCGATGGCCGGCATCGTGGTTGGCGTCCTGGCTGGCGTAGCTCTGGTAGCAGCGCTGGCGTACTTCCTGTATGTCAGAAAGACTGGAGGGTATGACGGCCTTCCCTCTTGCTCCGCTTCCTCCATGGCTGATGACCATCCTGGGAGAGGGAAGGGGACTTCCCCTCTGTCTCTGGGCCTGGATCTGCTCCTCCTCCTTCTTAAATCCCTGCTTCTCAGCACTGATTCTTGAGGCCTCTTCTTCCCTGGTCTTCAAGCTTCCTGTACCCCACTCTCTTTGGAACATGGTTATTCCCATCCCCCTGTGGTTTAGAGAAGGCAGATCTGACTATGTTCCTTGGGCCTATAGTCAGGGAAACCAAGGTCCAAGAAGGAAGACAAATCAGTAAATGAAAAGAGTAGCAGGAGAAAGCGAGTTGTGTGCTCTGTCAACCACAGGAAGAGGAGAAGAGAGGGGCAGGTCAGGAAGAGAACCTTAAAAATACGTGAAACCAGCCTGGCCTGTGTGGCTCAGTGGTCGAATATTGACCCATGAACCAGGAGGTCACAGTTCAATTCCCAGTCAGGGCACATGCAAGGGTTGTAGGCTCAATTGCCAGAACAGGGCTTACAGGAGGCAGCTGATGGATGATTCTCTCATCATTGATGTTTTTATCTGTCCTTCTCCTTTCCTCTCTCTAAAATCAACAGATTTATATGTTTTTTAAAGCTGAAATTAAAGGCCTTTTGGGTAATAAATGAAGAATGAAAACAGAGTCAACAAAGCCAAAGGTGTACAGGTAGAAATAGGCTCAGAAGCAACTGATAAAGACTACTCTATCAGTTTGTGCTCTGGCCAGGTGTACATTCTCAGTAAGGACACAAACCTAAGTTGAGGGTTCTATCCCCTGATGGGGCACCTCTCTCTCTCTCTCTCTCTCTCTCTCTCTCTCTCTCTCTCTCTCTCCCCCCCCTCCCTCTCCTCTCTCCTCCCTTCTGCTTTCTGAAGGTAATAAATACCAGATAAGATTTTTTTTAAAGGGATGGGCCTGTGTGAACGTTAGTGCAGCAGGAAAGGAGTGCACTATAGGAGGGATGGTGGGTACACTGAAGAGGAGCCCTAGGAGGAAGGCAATACTGACTCTGGTCCAAACGAGCTGACAGTGTCCTTCCTACTTCAAGTAGCAAAGAGCCTGTGCTTGGGAATAGCAGTCACAGTCTCTGATATTTGTTTAGGGCAAGCGACCAGCGCGATCTCACAGAGCACAATCCCTCAGCCTCCAACAACAGTAAGTAAAGCCATCACCAGTGAGAGCTGGTGTGTTCCACCACGTGCCCTGCCCTAGCAGGAAACCTGGTCCCAAGGACTCAGTACCTTCTGAAATGTTAGAGGGGATCTCCACTTCCCAACCTTAGGTTGCCGTAGGTCCTCACACCCTTCTAGTCACAAAGATTCCCCTGAGACCCAGCCCTGGGAGAGACTCACTCAGCCAGACCTGGCAGGCCTGAGGAAGATGGACATGTTTTCCAAAGCCATTCCTCACCTACCGCTTACCCTCCTCCTCTAATACGGATGTGGGCACTCTCCTTTGGTGAGTCTTTCTGTGTCTTGTGGTGCTATGGGTGCTGTGGGTCTCTATGCCCCTCCTTGCTACTGGTGCCTGTTGCTGAGAAACACACTGGACAAAAACAATGACTTGTGAGCTGGAAAAAACATTCAGAAGTGGACTGAGGCCTCCCTGTCACTAATACAGCCACACTCACCCCTTAACCCCACTCCCTCCTGCTGGTACTAACACCCTGGGTCTGGACCACAGACTCTGACTGAAGCAGTTTCCTTAAGTAAACTTCCCACTCCCCTCCCACCACCTTCCATCTCCTTCAGCTAGAAATCACAGCAGCTTAGGAACACCAAGGCTGTAAGACCTTAAGTCAGTTTTGCATTTTCATGGATTGCTAACTCTTTCAACTCCCAGGTCATGGCCACTCTGACAGCTCACCTAATAAGCTAAGTGCAGCCAGTTTCACTGGCTCATTTTCTCATGGATATACCTCTATAGAGAATGAGTTACTCTTGAAAACACAAATGAGATCGCGTTTGAGTCAAGGTTCCTCAATGTAGCAACAAGCCAAGATGTATTGGTTAACTACTCCCATGGGTCTACCCCATGCAAGAATGTGGGCTCTGGAGTTACTCCCGTCCTGAGTTTGAATCCTGGCTGTGACTCTTAGTTCCTCTGTGACCTTGGGCACGTAACTGGATCTCTCTGATCCTCACCCTGTCATCTGTAAACACGAAATGCTGCCTACTTCAGAGAGAAGCTGAAGGAATGAAATGAGATAACACATGCAAAGCATCAGCACGGTGCCCAACACCAAGAAGGCACTGGGTCATTCTCCCTCCTCTACCTCAGTCTGATCCTGTTCTTCCTGTCAAAGGATAATGTCCATTCCAATGGGTCTGAGATCTTAGTTCCTTCACTTTATAATAACGTTACTGAGCTTCTCTCATTTAGCCTTTCAATAGAGCAGACATATGTATTGAAAAGCGCTTAAAGCATACATATATCCTATCTAATGAAAGAGAAACATGGTAATTAGCGTACGACCGCTACCCTTCCCATTGGCTAATCAGGGCGATATGCAAATTAACTGCCAGCCAAGATGGCAGCCGGCAGCCAGGCAGCTGGAAGCAAACATGAGGCTTGCTTGCTTCAGTGACGGAGGACTCCAACGTTCCCTGCCTGCCTTGCCAGCCTCTGAGCTTGCAGTTTGAAACATTGTAACAAATATAGAAGCTAAACAAAACCCCAGAAACCAGCTTTCAGACAGCCGGGATCTCAGAGCTGGAGTTGATACAGTGTTTCAAAATAATAGAACCCAAACAAACCAGATACCTGCTTTCAGCAGAAGAGGCCTCAGAGCTGGAGCCAGAGGTAAAGCTGGCCCAGAATTAAAAAAGAAAAAGAAAAAAAGGAGCAGTTGGGAGCTTCAGTCACCCGCCAGCCTGAAAAGAGCCCTCAGCCCCTCACCCACACTGGCCAGGCACCCCAGTGGGGACCCCCACCCTGAAGGGTGTGTGACCAGCTGCAAACAGCCATCATCCCCTCATCCAGGCTGGCCAGGCACCCCAGTGGGGACTCCCACCCTGATCCAGGACACCCTTCAGGGCAAACCAGCCAGCCCCCACCCATGCACCAGGCCTCTAACCTATATAGTAAAAGGGTAATATGCCTCCCAGCACCGGGATCAGCGGAGCCGCGAGGCCTCCTGGCACCAGGATCAGTGTGACAGGGGGCAGCGCCCAAACCCCCTGATTGCCCTGAGGCTCTGTGTGTGACAGGGGGCGGGGCCATAACCTCCCCATTGGCCCTGCCCTGAGTGTGACAGTGGTGGCGCCCCAACGCCCTGATCGGCCCTGCTCTGTGGGTGATAGAGGGCGGTGCCCCAACTCCCCTATCGGCCCTACTCTGTTTGAGTGTCAGGGGGGAGCTCCTCAACCCCCTAATGGGCCCTGCTCTGTGCGTGACAGGGGGGAGCTCCCCAACCCCCTGATGGGCCCTGCTCTGTGCATGACAGGGGGTGGCATCGCAACCTCCCAATCCGCCCTGCTCTGTGCATGACAGGGGGCGGCGAACCAACTCCCCAATCGGCCCTGCTCTAAGCCCGACCAGGGGCTGCACCTAGGGATTGGGCCTGCCCTCTGCCACCCGGGAGCAGGCCTAAGCCAGCAGGTCGTTATCTCCCGAGGGGTCCCAGACTGTGAGAGGGCACAGGCCGGGCTGAGGGACCCCCCTTCCCCCCCTCACCGAGTGCACAAATTTTTGTGCAACGGGCCTCTAGTAGATATATATGTATATATCTATATATATAGTAATATGCAAATTAGCCAGACACCGTAACAGTAGCAACCGGCTCAGGAGGAGGCTGTGCGCACAGATGGCGGGCCCGGAGTGGAGACACAACACACAGTGCACCAACAGTCCAGCCTCTGCTCATAAACTGAAAAGGAAACACCTTTTTTTTACCGCTCATTGGCTAAGCTCCCTGTACAACACTTGCAGTATTCTTGGTAACATGGATAATAAGAATCCAAGAAGGTGATCTAGGGCTTTTCCACCTCATTCCTGGAGGAAAAAACAAAGGTCTGCTGCTGGAGGGGCTAAGAAATGTCATATCCTGCCCTAGCCAGTTTGGCTCAGTGGATAGAGCCTCAGCCCATGGACCACAGGGTCCAGGTTAGATTCTGATCAAGGGCATGTACCTAGTTTGCAGGCTCCTTCCTGGCCAGGGCCCAGGTCAGGGCTCATGCAGGAGGCAACCAATTGAAGGGTCCCCATCACATTGATGTTTCTCTCTATCTTTCCCTCTCTTTTCCATGCTCTCTAAAAATCAATGGAAAAATATCGTCCAGTGAAATCAAATAAAAAAAAAGAAATAAAGAAATGTCATATCCTATGAAAGAGACATCTTGAAAATGCCTAAAGAAAGTTGTCATTTTTTCGTAGTGAAGAGACTGGAGTCTGTGTTGATGAAAACACCTTGGTGGCTGTGGTGGCCGGCAGTGGCAGCAACAGCAGGGTGATGGGGGTGGTGTCTTCTCCTGATCAGCCAGTCTCATCCTGCAACCAGTAGGACATTCCCTGAGGGCTCCAGGTCTGTGAGAGGGGGCAGGCTGGGCTGAGGGACCCCTCCCCCCCCCCAGTGCACAAATTTAGTGCACCGGGTCTCTAGTATGTTAATTATGTATAAATTATCATGAATTGAGCATACCCTTGTAAGCAGCACTGAAATGAAGAAACAAAACATCTTATCTCCCTACAAAATGAAACCCTCCAGTCACTTCCCTCCAAAGAGTAACCATATCCTGACTTCCAATGCACTAGATTATTTTTGCCTGTTTATGCTCTTACATTAAAAAGCACAGTATATCCTTATATGTGTGTTGTTTCTTTCTTTCAAAATGGTCTTGTGAGACTTATCCATATTGTGGTATGTATGTGTGGTTGTTCATTCTCATTGCTGTATCCTCCTCTTCCATGGTATGAATACATAATCTATCTCTTCTAATGGCCACTGAAAGGATGTCAGCAAGCAGAGATAATGGGTAACAAAAGTCCTTCTCCAAAGCTAGAAGTTTCAAAGTGGTGAGAGCAGGTGCTGCCTAATCACAGGAGGCCAGGTAAGGGCCTGACCTGTGATACTGATTTAATTTACCACTTCTTATCCCTTTCAGATCCATGAAGTTACATATTCTTTGCTGAACTTCAGTGGCCAAGAATCAAAGAAACCAACGTCAGCCTCCCCGTCCCCACCAGCTACAGAGCCAGTTTATGCGGAAATAAAAAAGAAGTAATGCAACCAGCCCTGCTCACCACACTGCTGCCTGATTCCAGTCTCATCCCATCACCAGGAGACCCCGTTGCCCTCAGGGAAAAGGAGAGGATGCAACCACAACCCTGGAAGAGCACACCTGGAAAGTCTCTTTCACCCCCTCACTCTCATGAGACAGCTCCAGGCTCCTGGTCACAGCCCCTCCCTTTGGTGCCAACGGGTGAAAGGGAGTCTGTAGGAAGCCCAGTCTTCCTTTTCATTAAATTTTGTCTCATTAAATTAGTACGAGAACCAACAAAGTCTAAAGGTAGCTTTTTAAAAAGCAAACTTCTGACTGAATTATTAAGAAGAAATGAGAGTGATCACAATAAGCAATATTAGGAGTAAAAAAGGAAACAATGACAGCAGGCAATAGGAGGACATCAGGAGCATCCCTATTGCAAATATTTGAAAGATTAGATTAAAAGAAATAAATACTTAGAAAAACAAAATGAAAACAGAAGTGAGTCAAAAAGAAAGAAAAGTATGAGTAGCTCTATTAACCAATAAAGAAACTGAGTTGGTAATCCTTCCAAAAAAGGATACGTATAATCTAGATTATTTGATGGTGTTTTCCAAACATTCAGAGAACAATTAATACTAATCTTATAAGTGCTCTTACAGAAAACAGAAGAGAGAGAACACTTCCCCAGCTGTTTTTGTGTGGCTAGTATAATCTTGTCCACGGAATCAGAAGAAAGTTGCTAGGCATGAGCAGAGCAGAGACAGAAAGGTACGGAGACTCACCAGGGCAGAAAGCTCCAGAAGACTATTAAGGGGCACAATTGAGAAAACAAGAACCTATCCTCCCCTAGCATATCACTGGACATGTGGTTGGACCTGGGATCTTTCATGTCTCTGGTCAGGCAATTTAGACGCCCCTGACCATTTCCTCCCATAACATAACATCTAGGCGTCAGTTGAATTTCAGCTCGAGGCCCAGAAATGCAGAAAAGCCAGACAAGTGACACAGTGGCTGCCTAAAGACCTATTACATTGACTAATGACCTCCTGCCTTGACATCGTTCAATCAGTGGAGAACATGACCCTGAAAGAGCACACCTAGAAAGCTGATGAATATTCCATTAAGACCCTCCCCCAAGACCTCCCCCAAGATTTCCACCTCCCAGAAAGAGAGACATGTGCTCAGGATAAAGGACCCAGTGTGCACTCTCCCTCCAAGGAGCATGCCCTTCCCATTCCCTCACAGGCACGTGTTCCCCAACCTCTGGGGATCCCATAAGACCTGCAACCAGGGGAGCAATGGGCAGCGGCAGCTTGTCCCCAGCTAACCCCCTGCACTTCTCTCCAAGAACCCTTTTCTCTGACTTCTCAGAGTCAAAGCAGCCCAGCCTAGGCTTCTCTGTTGCTTCTTCTATGCCCTTCCTTGTTTCACAGTCCTAAGTACATTTTTGCTGCCATCATGGGGTACCATGCCTTTTGCTCAGTACTGCGTAGTCCTTCCCCTTGCATATCCCCATCTCCCGTCCCCTTTTCCTTAAGTAAATTCCATTTTCTTTAATCACCATCTGAGATGGCTATTTAGCCTGCCCGAGCACCACCCATTTTAATCTTTCAAAACCCCGAAAGGAAAATAACAGGCTTAATATTCTTGTGTATGAACATCCTCATGAACAGTAACACAATCAGCAATGAATAAAAACGATGACATGCAGGAAATGTGGGTTTATTTCAGAAAGAGGTTAACAGTATAAAAGTCACTGTAATTCACAGCATTAAAGGTTTAAAGGAGAAAAACCATGTAACATTTTCAAAAGACACTTTCAAGAAAAACTCTACCTAAAATTCAGCCTCTCTTTGTTAAGAACTTACTAAGCCAGAAATAAAAGGAACTTCCTTAATCTGAAAAAGAGTGTTTACAAAATGTTATGGTAAAGTGTGGGCCAAACACTAAACACAAGGAGCTCAGGGGAGGCCTGGGTGGTGGCCTTGCAAACTCAGGGGCCTAAAGTGACCACAAAGGATGGTGTGAAATGAAAACTTTTAACTAAAAGCAGTTTATGGCAGCTAGTAATGTCATAGGCTAGACTCTTCCTTAGCAAAAGTCAATCTTGACCTTAACTGACCCTGTCTAATGTCCTTTGCATCTGCTATAGCTTTCCTATGGAATGTCAGGAAAACTCCCCTTTCTTTTGACTGTTAATTATCCTGTACCCACCTAGTTAAAAGATGTGAAACATTTTACATCCAGTCCCAGGGGTGCCCCCATTTGCTTTTTCCCACCTCCCTAATCTATTACCAGTGGATGTAAACTGTCCCACTTGCCTCTGGTCTTTTGATTGAAATGTATAAAATAAGATGCAAAATGGCCATTTTCTGGAGCATTGTCTCAATCCATGGAGATTTTGCTCCCAAGCTATTGTCGATAGTTTAGCTCAAGTAAACTCACAAAAATTCTTCACCAGTTTGGAGTTTCATACTTTGACCTTTACTCGTTATAGTGGGGCAGGATTCCAAAGCAGTTTGCCCAGGACCACCCTGCAGACCCAGACCAAGTGCTAGGATCCAGCAAAGGGTCCACTGAGCTCACTAACCCCCTGGCCCCCTATCTGGTAAACTTGCTGAGTTGTCTCTTGGATCCAGGACCTTCCCTTGCTTGTAGTAGATGATCTGACTTTATTAGAGCTGTATTTTAAATCCGCAAGGTGGACCTAAGGTTAAGGGTTGACAGAAGCAAGGCTAAGGTGAGACACAAGGAAAAATGGGTGGCTGTTTTTTTAACTCAGGCATTTCAATTGGAATTGTTTTCTGAGAGTCTGAGCAAAAAACCTTCACTGTATAAATGAGAGCTGAAGTTGTTCAGCTCTGAAGATCAGGGGCGCATCCTCCCTCCAGCACAAATCTCAGGTGTTCTTAAAGGCTCGGCAGGAGCCTTGACTTGCAGGTGATTTATAGAAATGAGAAGATTTAACTAGAAATTATATTAACTTAAAATGGTCAAAATGCACCTGGCTGGTGTGTCTCAGTGGTTGAGCATCGACCTATAAACCAGGAGGTCAGCTCTAGCCAGTTTGGTGCAGTGGATTGAGTGTCGGCCTGAGGAGGAAGGTCCTGGGTTCGATTCCGAACAAAGGCATGTACCTCAGTTGTAGGTACAGCCCTGGTCGGGGAGCATGCAGGAGGCAACCAATCGATGTGTCTCTCTCACATCAATGTTTCTCGTCTCTCCCTGTTTTTTCCACTCTCTCTACAGATCAATGGAAAAATATTCTCAAGTGAGGACTAACAACAAAAAAAACCACCACACTAAACCAGGAGGTCGTAGTTTGATTCCCGGTCAGGTGACAAGCCTGGGTTTTGGGCTCAATCCCCTCTGGGGATCATGCAGGAGGCAAATGATCAATAATTCTCCCTCCTCATTAATGTTTCTATCTCCCCCTCTCCTTTCCTCTCTGAAATCAATAAAAATATTTTTTAATAAAATAAAATGGTCAAAATGCAGTTGCCTTTGGGTGCCTAAATTAATTTTTTCATGCAAAAATTAGAAAAATGGAGGCTCTAACATTATACTGAATGAATGAATGAATGGGAAATGTGTCTTGATTTGGAAATTAAAAGTTCCCAGTAGAAGCATAGATCAATTTTTGGAAAAAAATAATAAGAAATATTAGAGACTGTCTCTGAACTCTTCTAAAGTGATAAATGCCTACACCTCATTCTTCCTTCTTCTATACCTCCTCCACTATATCATTTGCTCTCAGAGCTTCCTTGTTCAGACTTGCCCTTCCCCTCCCTTCTTCCTTCCCCTTCTGTCTCCTCCACGACCACTCTCTACTGACTTAAGGGAATTCTAACAGCTCCCTTTGATGAAAAGTTGGTCTCAGCCAGAGAGGAACAAGCAATTGTTCCTGATTTTATCTGGGAACCTGATGGGTTCACAGAGAAATTTAACTGTTAGAATGTGTAATCCTGGCTATTCTAATTTATTGCAATTAATATAGCTACTGGTTTCTGGAAGCAAAAGCAATAGAATTACTAAATAAGGTTCGCAAGAAAACTTCTGTGGAGAAGTTTACCCACTTTAAGGATTATAAGAAAGCGAAATTGGATTTAGGAAAAAAAAATCAGAAACAAGCATAAAGCTGCTCTGTGGACTACAAGAAGGCATTTCCCCTTCTTATTAATAGTTTAGGAGAAATGAAAATTACCATGAAAAAGGAGGAGCTTATAATTCCTTGTATGAGACCCTGTAATTCTCCTATCCTTCCAATAAAGAAACTGAACGGTAAAAGGGAAAGTTGTACAAAATCTCAGAGCTATAAATAAGCTAGCTATCCCCAGACATCCTATAGTTCCAAATCCACAAGCCTTATCATCAACCATTACTATGACTGCCAATATTTTCCAGTAATAGATTATGTAGTGCCTTTTTAGCATTCCAGTAGAAAAAGACAGTCCATACCTCTGCTTTCACCTGGAAGATTAAAGTTTACTTGGCCAGTAATGCCCAGGAATATGTGAAGACTCCCACCTATTGTCTTAGATACTAAAAGCTGATTGAAAAAATGTTAAATTTTCTAGATATTCCACTCTACTCCTACATGAGCGTGATCTGGTTGTATGCTCTAGTCTAGAAAAGTACTAGACTCCCACAAGGACACAATTTACCTATTACAACAGCTAGCTGTAAAGGCACATGGATACCAAAGAACAGCTCTGATTCTGTTTCCCAGTAAAGTACTTTGGTTCTGATATTAAAGATGGGCTACTAATTAGCCATGAAAGACTCAGTAATCCTATCTTTCCTCTTAAAAAAACAAGGAAGCAGCTTAGAGGATTCCTGGTTTGGACTGAATATTGTCACAACTGGGTTCCAAATTTTTCATTAATGGCCCACCCTCCAGATAGATGTCTTATTAAAATTAAAATGACCTGATCCAGTTTAGTGGAACTACAAAGAGAAACAAACTATAAAATCTCTAAAGAATTATCTAAAGCTTCCACTTTGGGACACATTAATTATAGAAATTTTAACTCAAAAATATACATCATCATAGACCTGTAGGTTGTTATAGTCACCAACTAGACAAACTAGACAAAAGGCCCCCTCCCTGCATAACAGCCATTTCTACTACAGACATGTTATGCAAACAAATAAACAAAAGATAGTTATGGCCTCTCTTTAGTTTATGTTCCTCATTCTATTAAATCTCCACTGAATTCTCAGCACATTCAACACTTCTGTCAGCTGACTGGTTCTTACCTTTGCAATTAATTTCACTTAAGCTCAATGTAAGTCGTAACCCAGCCACTTTGCTCCTTTCTCTGCAGGATAAAGACCTCTACAATTATATTTTGGTTATTGACCACATTCTTATTCCTAGAAATGGTTTCTAGGAAATGATTTAATATTACTGACTTAATTGGTTTACGGATGTTAGGAGCAGAAATAGAATACTGGGGATTAGCTATAATTATCTATATATTTAAAAGCCTAAGCGACCATTACAACCGAATGACCAGAACGACCGGTCGCTATGATGCCCACTGACCACCAGGGAGCAGATGCTTAATGCAGGAGCTACCCCCTGGTGGTCAGTGTGCTCCCACAGCCAACCTCCCATGGTCCCTCCACGCCCCCCACCCTCACGCCTGTGCACAAATTCGTGCACCGGGCCTTTAGTAAGAAATATTAACCATGTTCTATTAAACATTATTGTTCTGTTCTGATTAAAGAACGAACATTCTAACCTGGCTAGGAGTTGTACCCAGGACCTGGGGGATCACCTGGTAATGCAGACCATCTTCTTCCTTGGAGAGCTGCCTATTATCATGGAAAAATTAACAAACTTGTTGCAGAAACCAGAAGACCAGCCCTTTACAAACCTCCAGTCCTTTGCCAATATTTGGGTAGCAACCCACTTGTTGTGGTATTTAAAAATAGATAAATTTTTAAAAAGTAATGTCCTTGTTTTACAAATGCGGTCGTTACAGGACCAAAGGTATGGTTCCAGAACATCAAAAGCCCACCAAGTCCTTTCACCTCCCTATTCATCTCAAGAGACTGGTAGATGTTAGGTCCACCACTAAAAGAGCCAGGCCCAGAGATGTTGTGAGGGTTAAGAAATTTTATTACATTGTCTCACAGTGAGCTGAGACCAGTGTGTTGGTGTCAGCCCTGCAGGGGTGGTTAGGTTCTCTTATATAGGGTAGAAGTATGCAATATCGTGTCAGGGTGTGGGTGCACAAGTACTGGAAAGAATTCATAAATGCCCCAATGTGTGGAGTTCAAACGTTGGAGTACTACTGCCAGATGCCTCCCATAAGAAAATATTACTCTAGGCTTTGTTATGCACATTCTTGCACTCCATTATGCTCTGCTTGGGCCCTCGCCCCTCCCTGGAATGTTATGTACATTCTTGAGCTCCATTATGTCTCCTGGAGACTCTTGCCCCTCCCAGTGATTTTCCAGTTATTCTCATGGCAGGTTTCAGGATTAATTGCCTTCTGTTTCCAGTAAACCCCTAACCAGTTTGCAGTGACCGCCTACACCTGGCCCCATCTGCACTGGGCCCCACTGGTTACTCTGACTAACCTTCAAAAGGCACAAAATATCCCGCTCCCACTACTCTGTGCTGCTGATGCCGTTTTGGCCTCAGCCCTTCTGATAGCAGATGTTACAATCTATACTAATAAAAGGGTAATGTGCTAATTAGACCAGACATCTTCCAGATGTCCTTCTGGACAAAGCCATGGTAGTGGGGACTGAGGTAGAGGCAGTTAGGGGCAATCAGGCCAGCAGGGGAGTGGTTAAGGGGCAATCAGGCCAGCAGGGGAGCAGTTAAGGGGTGATCAGGCCAGTAGGCAGAGGCGGTTAGGGGCAATCAGGCAGGCAGGCAGGCAGTTGAGCGGTTAGGAGCCAGCAGTCCTGGATTGCGAGAGGGATGTCTGACTGCCAGTTTAGGCCCAATCCCGCACAAGGATCAGGCCTAAACCAGCAGTCAGACATCCCCTGAGGGGTCCCAGATTGGAGAGGTTGCACCCATCCCCCCATGAATATCCTGCACTGGGCCTCTGGTCTAATCTAATAAAAGAGAAACATGGTAATTGGTGTACGACCGCTACCCTTCCCATTGGCTAATCACAGCGATATGCAAATTAACTGTCAGCCAAGATGGTGGCCGGCAGCCAGGCAGCTTGAAACTAATATGAGGCTTGCTTGCTTCAGTGACGGAGGAAACCAATGTTCCCAGCCTGCCTTGCAGCCTCTGAGCCTGCAGTCTGAAACATTTTAACATGTTAAAATGCAGCTGGGATCTCAGAGCTGGAGTCAGAGCTGGAGTTATACATTGTTTTGATTACCTACTTTCAGCAGCAGAGGCCTAAGAGCTGGAGCCTCAGAGCTAAAGCTGGCCCAGAATTAAAAAAGAAAAAGAAAAAAAGGAGCGGTTGGGAGCTTCCGTCACCCGCCAGCCTGAAAACAGCCCTCAGCCCCTCACCCAGACTGGCCAGGCACCCCAGTGGTGACCCCAACCCTGAAGGGTGTGTGACCAGCTGCAAACAGCCATCATCCCCTCACCCAGGCTGGCCAAGCACCCCAGTGGGGACCCCCACCCTGAAGGGTGTGTGACCAGCTGCAAACAGCCATCATCCCCTCACCCAGGCTGGCCAGGCACCCCAGTGGGGACCCCCACCCTGATCCAGGACACCCTTCAGGGCAAACCAGCCAGCCCCACCCATGCACGAGGCCTCTACCCTATATAGTAAAAGGGTAATATGCCTCCCAGCACCGGGATCAGCGTGACAGGGGGCAGCGCCCAAACCCCCTGATCGCCCTGCAGCTCTGTGTGTGACAGGGTGCGGGGCCACAACCTCCTTATCCGCCCTGCTCTGTTTGTGACAGGGCAAGGCGCCCCAACCTCCTGATCAGCCCTGCTCTGTGCCTGATACGGGGGAGCTCCCCAACCTCTGATTGCCCTGCGGC